ATAGTATTAAAGTATATAGTATACTGTATATAGTATATAGTATACATATACATTACTGTGTATAGTATACCGCAGTATAGTATACCACACAATATATTATATAGAATGTATACATATGTATATATACTATATATACATATAAACAAATAAAATATAAACAAATGGTGAATCTGGGTAAAAGGTACACAGGAGTTCTTCATACTAATCTTCATATATATATATATACTATATAATATATTGTGTGGTATAATATACAGTGGTATACTATACTGTGTATACTATACACAGTAATGTATATGTGTACTATATACTATATACTATATACAGTATACTATATACTTTAATACTATGTATTTTATACTGTATACTATATACTATAGTATACTATATGTTGCACTAAAGTACTTTAGTGCTATATATAATACTATGGTATATATCACAGAATATATATATTTATTATAGAATGTATATTTATACCTGTGTTTATTTATATCTAGATAAATAAATTTATATAATCCAAATTTAAAATTAATTTATATTTAAATTTAAAAATAATTTAAATTGGTGTTTATTATATTATACAATATAAATACATTGTATATATATGTGTGTGTGTATGTGTGTATATGTATATATATATATATATATATACAGAGAGAGAGAAAGAAAGCATTTTAGAATTTATGATAATGATGATGACTGTGGCAACAACTGAAATGACTGTATGTTCACAGCAATCCCCACCTATAGAACTGTCAATATATTAATATTTATTTTCTTCTTATACTATGTTCTAAAGAAAGGTATATTTATTTTCATATTATTGTTTTATTGTGCTTTAACTATATATTTAGAGTAAAAAAATAAAGCAAAATAACAAAAATCATCAGAGTTCCCAGGGCATATTTATGAGCACTGTTAGTATTTAGAGATATATTTTCTAGACTTTGGCTTTCTTTTCTTTTTTTTTTTTTTAAGACTTTAAAAATTTATTTGGCAGACAGAGAGAGGAAGGCAGAGGGAGAGGGAGAAGCAGGCTCTCCACTGAGCAGGGAGCCTAATGCAGGTCTTGATCCCAGGACCCTGAGATCATGACCTGAGCTGAAGGCAGATGCTCAACTGACTGAGGTACCAATGTGCCCCTGGACTTTGGATTTCAATCAACAAAAATTCTGGGCTTTTCCTAGTTAAATAAAATATGGGTACGTTGAAAATATGGGATCATAATTGTATGATGTATGGGTTTTAGCCTTCCTTTAAGTCATAATACTATCATATTGTTTTGTTTTAAGCATTTTTTATTTCCAGCTTGGAGCCCAACAGAGGGCATAAACTCATGACCCTAAGATTGAGACCAGGACTGAGACCAAGAGTTGGCTGCTTAACTGAAGGAACCACCCAGGCACCCCTCTTGTATGTACTTTGTAGATAAAATTCATAACATCTTTGCAAATTAGAGTCACATTTTTAGATGAAGAATCCAAGGTTCAGAGAGGTTCACTAAAGTGCCTAGGTCACACAGCAGTAAGGAATGGAGTTATAGTCTAAACCCTAGACTGTCTGCTTCCAAGGCTGAAGCTTCAATCATTATTTTGCCCAAGGTCCCTTTCCTTGTATTTTTACTTATATCATTAGCATTTAGCTTTATTGCACTGTGGTGAGAAAATACATCTATTACTTTCCTCTGGATTCATTTTTGGACTCTTATTTAAGAGTATATACATACCGATGCACTATACCTTGAGAAAAATGAATCATCCGTGTTGTTTCTGAGTTCAATGTATGTCCACTGGTTCATCCATTCTAAGTGTAGAGTACTCCTAACTTATATTTTATTTTTTAAATTTATATCTACTTTTGTCACATGACTTCTAAAATTTTGTCTGTTGAAATTTATCTTTCTGGGGTACCTGAGTGCCTCAGTCATTAAGTGACTGCCTTTGGCTCAGGTCATGATCCCAGGGTCCTGGGATCGAGCCCTGCATCAGGCTCTCTGCTCAGCGGGAAGCCTGCTTCTCCCTCTCACACTCCCCCTGCTTGTGTTCCCTCTCTCTCCGTCTCTCTCTGTCAAATAAATAAATAAAATCTTAAAAAAAAAGAAATTTTCTAATTTTTAAATATTGTCTCATTTTTGTCTTAGGCTGGTCATGAATTCACAACTCCCTTTACAGTAGTTTGTTTTTTAATTATTTCTTTTGTTTTTTCATTTGTAACTTGGGTAATCCATGTCTTCACTGCTGTTTTTGTATTTTTCATTATAATCAGGAGCCTCTTTCACCATCCCTCCACTTTTTTGGTTTCAGAATCTTTTTTATATGATTCTACCTTTACCAGCGGTTTCCTTCTTGTTGCATGAATTTCCTCAATAAAACTTTTTAAAAAAATTTTTTTAGCATTTCTGCATCATTTTATTACAGATATCGATCTTTAAGCAACAAACGTGTTGTGGGGTCTTATTTTAACCCCATATAGGAATTTGTTTTTGGAGAAACAAACAGCCTTTATATATGGACTCCCTTGGAAAGCGGTTGGTACAATGATATGAGATGGGCTTTCAGCTAAGAGCTATGGACTTGTTGCAAATTACTTAAGGACTCTATGAGAAGGAAGCTACTAGTTTCCTTATCTGTATAATCATGTTAATTAAGAGTATAAACTTTATCTAGTTGTCATGAAGATTAAAGGAGAACATTCTGGAATAGAAGCATAGTAAAGCATAGTAAACTATTAATATTATATTAAACTATTGTTTGTAAAATTAAACTGTCATTTTTTGCTATTATAGATAGCAGGCCTGGAAATTTCATTCAAAGCAAGTTTTCTGGCAATAGCATATAAAACAAATTCTTGAAACAACGATCTGTGCTCAACATGGGGGAAATGAGCTCCGGACTTTTCTCTAACCCAGTCTCAAATTTCTCTCTGAGATAACGGGAACAACTTACAGTAAATTTGCTGAGAGGCAGTTGTCAGGTTTCAGTTCAACTCGTCCGTCTCTACTTCTGGCTGCGCTGTGGAGTTTCACAGCCTGACTCAAATTCAGCCCTGTCAGGAATCACTGTTTTGCTTCCCATCTAATTCATTAAGGATTTAGGTGGTATAAATACGTCGCTCGCTTCCATGGTGGGGGTTGAAGCTGTAGCCTTCTTCGGCCTCTCCTCTTGTCGTCGGGTGAGGAAACACTGACACTCAGAAAAGCAAACCAACCAGTGATGGATTTTCTACTTCCCGGATCATGGAATTTGCTCGTCCAATGACAGCCATCTGGTGGGCAACGGGACAGGAGGATTGATTCTCAGCCTGGGGCTCTCCTTCCAGCGGCCCTCCAGCCCCTGCACAGCCGGGAAACTCTGTGTCCTTTCAAGCTACTGGGAGCTGAAGCTTCATTCTTAACTTCTGCCCTGAAGGACCAAAGAGGGACAGGGGAAAACTAAAAAATCTGAGAAGTCCACTAGAGTCCGTTTTTAACTTTCCAGAATTGTCTATGCCCTTCAGGATCCAGATGACCTTTGACAATGCAATAGCACCCAAGTGGGGAATAAATATCCTATAATATTAGAATCCGATAAACTCTAGAATGATGCAATTGAATTTTGTTGTGTGAGCTTCAAATCTCTGATGGCTTCTATTTGATCGGTGAGAGGGGGAGATGGATGCGTTTCCCACCTGAGGCAACAGGGCTGTTTTCTTAAACTTCTGTGATGATAGAATCATCTTGTCTCTTGTTAAACATATGCTTCTAAGTCCCTCCCCAGAGACCGATTCAGTGCCTCTGGAATGGGGCCTCAGATGTGCGTTCTGGACAGAAGAAGAGCTTGGGGAATGATGGGGAAGATGGAGGGAATAGTCTGTTTTGAGAATCAGATGGCTCTGGGCTTAAATCCTACCTACTGGTTATGGGGTCTTGCACAAATTAGTTAATCTTCCTTAACCTCATTGAAAAGCAGTAGAGATAAAAAAAAAAAATCTACCTCAAAGTGTTGTCGAGAAGATTCAAAGGACTAAGGCCATGTGCTGCATCTGCTTTTCTGGGTGCTGTTAAATCATTTCTGCCCAAGTTCATTTGAAGGTTATCTGTGAACTTAGCACGTAGGCATAATGTTTTTTGTTGTTTGTCTGCTTTTGCTGTTGTGGGTTTTTAATTTTTTTTTTATTTTTTTAAGATTTTATTTATTTATTTGACAGACGAAGACCACAAGTAGGCAGAGAAGCAGGCGGAGAGAGAGGAGGAAGCAGGCTCCCTGGTGAGCAGAGAGCCTGATGCGGGGCTCGATCCCAGAATCCTGGGATCATGACCTGAGCCGAAGGCAGAGGCTTTAACCAATTGAGCCACCCAGGCACCCCTGTTGTGGGTTTTTTGCTTCATTTTGTTTTACTTATCTTTTCCATCTATTCAGCAGATACTTGTGAAGTTTTTACTGTGGGCAAGGAACCGGGATTCCCAGAACCCCCTACGTACCTCCCTGCTGGTGTGGCCTGTCCACACGGCCTGTCCCAGTCTTCTAAAGGGACTGAACAAAATCTCCATTGAGTGACTTGACGTAACAGCTCCTTAACTGTTTAGGGAGCTTCCTGAGATTAGGAGTGTCATGTCTTTATGCCTCCTCTGTACCAGAAATTCCAGTTTTTTTTAAAACTCAGTTGTGTGTGTGTATGTGGTTTTCTCTGTAGGTGTAGTTTTTCCCTCCTTTGCTTTACTGAGATATTATTGACATACAACACATACGAGTTTAAACAACATAATGATTAGATACATGTATATATTGCAAAAGGATGACCACAATACAGTTAGTTAATATCTCCAACCCTTCACTTAATTATGGTGTGTGTGTGTGTGTGTGTGTGTGTGTGTGTGTGTTGATAACATTTAAGATCTACCCTGTTAACAACTTTCAAGTACATAAAGCAATATTGTTAGCTATAGTCACCACCCTGTGTGTTAGGTCCCCGGGTCTTCTTTATCTTATAGCTGGGAGTTTGTTACCCTTTGACCAATGTCTAAAAATATGGAATGCTTTGTGAATTTGCACACCATCCTTGAGCAGGAACCATGCTAATGTTCTCTGTACCATTCCAGTTTTAGCATATGCGCTGCCAAAGCGAGCACCATGGGTATGTTTTTTTCTTCAACAGAAAATATGCATTTAAACGATCCCATTTGGTTTTTACACAGAATATGTTCTAGGTGCTTTGCAGTCTGCAGTCTTCCCTTCCTGGCCAGAAAAACCTTTGCACTTTTTTTTTTCTTTCATTGGATTTCTGAGGAATAGACTTACATTTTTTTATATATATATTTAGCCTTACTTCAAAAGAATTTAAGACACTTTTTAAAGATGCAAATAATGCAAGACTTATTAAAAAGAAAAATTCAGGCATGGAAGATAAGGATGGGAAAAATAGGGTGAACTCATGAATGAGGTCTCACGTCAAATACACGTTGTACCGTTCTTTTCGCTTCCTGGCTGTGGGCCAGATTTTCGCTCTGAACTTCCAAGCAGTCATGGCAAAGCCTCTGCAATCAAGAGAGGAAGGCGATGATCCTCATATAGATCCTCATCTATGTGAGCCCTGAATATTGTTTTAAATTTTCCACTAGCCCAAGACTTTAGGTCCAAATCAACATTAGGGTCATTGAGGCTCTATGGAAGGGTCATGAAGTGCCATGGAAATCTGTGCTCTCTAACCCGCCAGCCAAATACAAGATGGATCAGGGAATAAGGAGGCCTCTCGTTGCAGGGGAGATGACAGCTGGATGGAAGAGCCGGGCTAAGGATCAGCCAATCCCCTGGTCCAGAAATCATAACCATGGCAACAGTGGTGCCCGCAGCTCTACTACCAACAGTGACGGCCTTAAGAGGCACCAGGCAAGAGAGGAGCCTGTCGTACTTCTGGGCTAGGCTCTTAGTGAAGGAAATTTATGTATTTTTTTATCCATAATCCCTGGGAGAAAGTAAACAGCCTCTTTCACTTTAACCTTGCAAACCGAAATCTACAAAGGAAAGGCAAATGTCCAGTGGCACAGCCTGGCTGAGGCCAGGTGTGAGTCTCTCATCTAGGAAACCCGGAGCCTGCCTCCGATTTTCCTTTTATTCTCTTGACTTTCTTGTAACAGTGCTGCTCAGGACTTTTCAACAAGAAAAGCCCAGAGGAGGATAGCTGCTTTTGAAGCTACCACTCTCGTCTGCCTCATTCATTTCAAACGTACTTCTCAAAGAGACAAAGGCCTGTGTACAAGCAATAATGCTCGCTGCATTCTTTTGCCGTCAGCTGTGATGTGGTGGCTTTTTGATTCTGCACAGAACCTGCCTTGTTTCAGAAACTGATTGATGGAGGCCTCTGAGTGAAGGAGGCAACAAGACAAACGAGCAGGGCTCCTGGTAAGGCAAGGTGCTTCAAGAGAATGGGCTTGGAAGCACTTAAAATAAAAAGTAAACACAACATCCATGAGTGTAGAGAATTCTCAAAGGCATCGAGCTGTTCCTGGTGTATAATCTGTAGTTCTGAAGGATCTTCACGTGTTTGTGCAAACACATGTCAGCTCCTTGGAGACATCTGACTTGGGATTTTAGACTTTTTGGTGGGGGGGGCGAAGGTGAAGTCCACATAGATGTCATAAAGCAGGGAAAACGTGAGAAAACACAGGAGGTCTGAGTCAAGTTTAAGGCAGGGAAACAAAACAGTGCATTCAAAGAGCTGGTCATGAGGCATCTCTGTAGAGAAGAGGGCGTGGGATTTCTCTTTAGAAGGATGTGGAGGGGCGCCTGGGTGGCTCAGTGGGTTGAGCCTCTGCCTTCGGCTCAGGTCATGATCTCAGGGTCCTGGGATCGAGCCCCACATTGGGCTCTCTGCTTCGTGGGGAGCCTGCTTCCTCCTCTCTCTCTCTCTGCCTGTCTCTCTGCCTACTTGTGATCTCTGTCTGTCAAATAAATAAATAAAATCTTAAAAAAAAAAAAAAGAAGGACGGGGAAAAGAACATGGAAAAACCCTCCCATTCTCAACACTATGGGCAGTGTGAGGGCTGCTCTGTGGGAGCTCTGAGAGGGGCCTCGTCTTCTTATAAACCCTTGTCCTTCCCTTTTGCCCAATAGATAGATGCAAACCAGTGAGAAATCAACATGAGAAATTGAGCCACACTAAATATGTTATATGAAAACCCCATCAAACCCCCTGTTGGTCTGCATTCTTCATGAGTCTGTGTGGGGAGCACATGGCAGACTGAGGAGGGGAGTGGTGGTGGTGGGGGGAGTTAATTGAAATAGGAATCCATGTCCCCATCAGTGGGACACTGGCACCATGTTCTCATTTAAAAAAGATGTCCGCCAGCAAGGTGGGACTCCACTGTGTAACTAAGTTAGGCTTAATATCTCAGTTTCACAGGAGAAAGGCAGATGGAATCAGACACTCTTGGTTTTCCACCCAGCAGCCATTCTCTTCTTTAATATTTTGCTTGCAGAGTCTCTGTTTTGATTGGGAGTCCTCCTGTCCTTATTGTGAATTGGGGAAAGGTGACCCTATCTTGACCTTGAAGAATAAATCCTGAATTTTTTTCTTTTTTAATGGTGACTGAAGTAGATGGAATTGTACGAATTTTAAGAGTTTTAAGATCCCATGATTGTCACCCTCTGGTGTTAACTTCTGTGATTATGGCAAAAGGCAGATGATCTGGGTGGGTTTGCTCTAATACTTAAGGCTCTTAAAGGCAGAGCGTTTTCTTCAGCTGGTGGCAGAAGGGACATCGAAGTATGAGAAGGAGTCAGTGCGCCGTTGCTGGCATTAAAGATGGAAGGGGCCTTGTTCGAGGATGGAGAATGGTCTTTGGACTTGAGAGTGATCCTGGTGGATGGCCAGCAAGGTCATGGGACCTCAGTCCCACAGCTGCAAGGAGCTTAATTCTACTAATGATCTGAATGAGCTTGGAAGTGAATTCTTCCCTAGAGGTCCAGAGGAGAGCTCAGATTAGCTGACATCTTGATTTCAGCTTTGCAAGTACTTAAGCAGAGAACCTACTCAACTTCCGGGACTTCTGACCTATAGAACTGTGAGAAAATAAATGCATATTGTGTTAAGCTGTCCAGACTTAAGCTGCATTAAGCTATAACACAGCAATAGAAAACTAATAAAGCAACTTACAGGTAGTGTCAAGAAATCCATATTCCAGCTCAGGAAAAATTAGTTTTCAGCTCTGACCCTAATTAGGAATCAGAAAGTTACCAGCAGTGGAGAATGTTGATTAGGTATCCAGTAGCCATTCCCAGCTTCCCCCTCATGTACCTTTCCCTCCCTATGAAAGACACAAATACCAGATTCTTGCTGCTGGGTAGTCACGTGACCTGGGTCTGCCTTTGGATAAAATCCTGTGAGAACATGAAATTACAGACTCAAAGCAGCCATTGTATGGATGCAAGGTGATGAGCCTAAACATGGTAGAGTGGAACGAAGGAAAGATCTTGGTTCTCTCAATGCATTATTTTTTTCTTTTGTGATAATTGTGAACTAAGTCCAAATCTGGAATTGCCTACTTTCGCGTCTCCTGTTATGTAAAAAAAATTTTTTTTTAAGAGATTTTATTTATTTATTTAGCAGAGATCACAAGTAGGCAGAGAGGCGGGGTGGGGTGGGGGGGGGCAGGCTCTCTGCTGAGCAGAGAGCCCGATGTGGGACTCCATCCCAGGACCCTGAGACCATGACCTGAGCCGAAGGCAGAGGCTTAGCCCACTGATCCACCTAGGCGCCCCGTAAAATTGCTTTTATTGTTAATGGCACTCTTAGTTGGTTTTTCTGTTACTTAAAGCTGATACATTACACTTCCTATAGAAGAAGCCTTACAGGTGGAGTCATCTGAGGGACAGTGAGTGTAGAGGTTGAGGACCAGGGTTTTGGCACAGGTAGGAAAGGGTCCATAGGCATCCAGGGGCTTGAAGGACAAGTATTCCCTGGGATTCTTTTCCCATGCGTAGAAGTTTACATGGCCATGTATATCTAAACTATATATTAAGTACTAGTCCTATGACCTTGGGCCATTCATCTAAACTTGGTGAGCCTCAGTTTACTCATCTGCAAAGTGGGGATAACAACACCTTTATCACTTGGTTTAATGGGGATCAGACTTGACTATATATTTTTACGTGCTTTGGAAACTTCAGAGGGCAGCTGTGGTACAGTGACAGAGCCTAGCTTGGTGCCTGGTATGTAGTAGGTGTGCTCAGTAAGTATCTGTGGGGTCAACGTGCTGGGCCTTTTTGTCCATATCAAGATTATTCTCATTGCACCATGAACTTGGGGGGTGGGGCTGCTTGCCATCTGCCTAGTTGCTCCATAGAGCTCGTACTCCAGATATAACTTAAAGAATTTTATTAAACGCTTTCTGCTTGGCAGTGATGTATTAGGCTCTGCAGCTGAGATAGAGAATTCAACTTTTGTTTTCCACGTATTTTCCACTAAATATGCTGTGATGAGGTGTCTGTTTTGATCGGGGACACTGTCAATCTTCTCCCATCCTGACTTTCTCTGTGATTTAGGATGTGAATATCTGTGGGCTTGGACCTATCACTCTTGTGTGAGGTGCTTTGGCTCCAATCAACAGGGTTGTGTCCAAGGCAGGCGGGCCCCCTGTGAACTCCCAGGCTGCTGAATCCTTCATCCAGCAGGTGACAGGTGGTGCCTAAGACATTGTGGAACAGAAGGAGGCAGCCACACCTGGCCCTTTGAAAGCGTCCCTATTTAAAACAAACCAGGATGCTATTTGCTTCCTCAGTTTTGCCACCATCACATCGTTCGCATTTCCGACTCCTCATCCGTGGTTCTAACTTCCTGTATCCACTCCTGGGTCTCATCGACTTCCCAGCTGGCCCCTCCCAGCTGAGCTCGACTGCTGCTTGCTGCTGATTCTTTGAGGCGAAGCAATCCTGGGTTTCGGTCTGGCCGTGCCCCGTACCATGCTGGCTGCAGAACGGCCAGAAACACCACTGAGAGCTGACAGGTTGGCATTTAAGAAAGACTTGTTTCAGGTTCCTCCCCAAAAGGAGACTGGAGTGAGACAGAGGAGAAGAGCAGGTGCTTGGGGCTAACGAGCGTCAGGCGGGTGAGACGGGAGGCAACATAGTAGTC